TCTCCTTGCTCACTCCAGAAAACTTGAAGAGGGTGATGCTCACCTCCACCCTGTCCCTGTGTTTGTATCCCTGGCCTGCCCACCCTCACCTGCGGTTGATCTCAGTGCATCCCTGTCTTCCCTCCCCTAGGCTTCTTAGAACAGGGTATCCTGGTGGTTGACAAGGGTAGAATTGCGAGTCGCTATGTCCGCACCTGGAGCTTCCTGTTCGACCTGGCTTCACTCATCCCCACTGATGCTGTCTACGTGCAACTGGGCCCACACATACCCACGCTGAGGCTCAACCGCTTTCTTCGTGTGCCTCGCCTTTTCGAGGCCTTCGACCGCACAGAGACCCGCACAGCTTACCCAAACGCCTTTCGCATCGCCAAGTTGATGCTTTACATTTTTGTCGTCATCCATTGGAACAGCTGTTTATACTTTGCACTATCCCGGTACCTGGGTTTCGGGCGTGACGCATGGGTGTACCCAGACCCAGCGCGGCCTGGTTTTGAACGTTTGCGGCGCCAGTACCTTTACAGCTTTTACTTCTCCACACTGATCCTGACAACCGTGGGCGATACACCACTGCCAGCCCGGGAGGAGGAGTACCTCTTCATGGTGGGCGATTTCCTACTGGCCGTCATGGGTTTCGCCACCATCATGGGTAGCATGAGCTCTGTAATCTACAACATGAACACCGCAGATGCGGCTTTCTACCCAGATCACGCCCTGGTGAAGAAGTACATGAAGCTGCACCATGTCAACCGGCGGCTGGAGCGGCGAGTTATAGATTGGTGAGAATGCCTGGGTTCCACACCAGTAGAGGGAGGAGTGTGCTGGCAGAACAGGGTGGGGGGTGGGGGGCCACTCACTGACTGAGCTGAGAGGGTCTAAATTGGTCATTCATTAGTAAGTCTGCTGGAGGGCTTGGAAAGAAGTGTCCTCCTCAGAGGGAATCTAACCTGGAGAGAGGGTGGGTAAGAGACTGATAGGAAGAGGAACTCATGCAAAAAGAAGGACAACATGGTAACCAGGGAATGGGAGCTGCCCACTGTCTGGTAGGGCTTAAAAGGCTCTAGAAAGAGTGAGTGGAGAAGGGCAATACCACCCTCACCAGCAGAAGACCAACAAGATGATTGACTGTATCGTGGTAAGTCATACTGTGTTCTAAACAAAAATAAGTGCCACAAAATTGGTGAGTCAGAGAGAAGGCTCTCGGAGAAGATGGGAGCTTGGTGACTGAAGTAGCTATCAGTGGAGGAGATACTAAACATTGATCATGGGTGGGATGGAGACTGACAGAAAGTAAACAGTGTGGTACTCATTGTCAAGTAGTGGAGGCATCCGTACCTTGGGTGAGGTCAAAGAGACCAAAACACATCTATAACCAAGAAAGGATATTAGCCAACTACCAGGTTCTTCCATGACCTCTGCAAGACCTGAGTGTGGTTGAGATCTTGGCTGATTTAAGCCCTAATGAAAGGGGTAGAGACAGGCTAGTGAGGAAATGGCACTACCCTTTCTCCCAGGTACCAGCACCTGCAGATCAACAAGAAGATGACCAATGAGGTAGCCATCTTACAGCATTTGCCTGAGCGGCTGCGAGCAGAAGTGGCTGTGTCCGTACACCTGTCTACTCTGAGCCGGGTACAGATCTTCCAGAACTGTGAGGCCAGCTTGCTGGAGGAACTTGTGCTAAAGCTGCAGCCGCAGACCTACTCACCAGGCGAATATGTATGCCGCAAGGGGGACATTGGCAGAGAGATGTACATCATCCGCGAGGGTCAACTGGCTGTCGTAGCAGATGATGGTGTCACACAGTATGCTGTGCTTGGTGCAGGGCTCTACTTTGGGGAGATCAGTATCATCAACATCAAAGGTGGGTACCCCAGCATTTTTTCCAGGAACAAAGTTGAGAAAAAGAATGGGATAGCAGAACTCTGTGCTGGAGCAAGATGGTACTTCAGGGCACATTTAGATGAAGGAAACTTCACCCCTTCCTGAGTCACTACAGGGCTCAGGAGAGAAGCTGGACACTGAGAAGAAACTGAGCCTAGGTCAATTGGCAGGGTGGGTCCTTAGAAGAGAGAGTAAGCATACTTTATGGGTACTGACTGAGGCACCAACAGACCATTGGAAAATGATGGAGGTAATAGTAATAATGAAGTTTATCTCATACTTAATACATCCCCTGCTCTAAGTGTTTATCATGCATCAGTTCAAATTCTCACACAGCTGTATAAGGTAGGAACTGATCTTCTCTCATTTTGAAGATAAGGAAATTGAAGCTTAGAGAAGTTTGGTAATTTGCCCATCTCTCTATTCTTGCTCCTCCTTCTGGTTAGATTGCTCTCCTCCCACTCAATTCCCTATTTCCCCTAATTACCTCCTACCCAGTTCAGGCATTTCTTCCTCCAGGCTTCCTTAAATTCTCTGCCTTACAGCTTGACAAGGGCTCTTTGCCTGTCTTCCCGTAGTACCTAATGCATATGTCTACACTGCACCAACCATACTGTTATATAACTATCCCATTAAATGTCTTTCTCCTCTAGATCATGAATTTTGAGGCATGTCACTGATACCCAACCAGCACAGAGTCTGGTCCCCAGTACATTATTGAATGAAAGAATTAGGCAGAATTGGAGGGGGGAATCCTAGTTCAGGAGTGAAATGGTACCTTCCCACATCCCTGCTAACTATCCTCCCTTCTGTCCACCCACGGGCCACAGGGAACATGTCCGGAAACCGTCGCACAGCCAACATTAAGAGCCTCGGTTATTCAGACCTGTTCTGTCTCAGCAAGGAGGACCTCCGAGAGGTGTTGAGTGAGTATCCACAAGCCCAGGCTGTCATGGAGGAGAAGGGCCGTGAGATCCTGCTGAAACTGAATAAGTTGGATGTAAATGCTGAGGCAGCTGAGATTGCCCTACAGGAGGCCACAGAGTCCCGGCTGAGAAACCTTGATCAACAACTTGATGATCTACAGACCAAGTTTGCTCGCCTACTGGCTGAGCTGGAATCCAGTGCACTCAAGATTGCTTACCGTATTGAACGGCTGGAGTGGCAGACCAGAGAGTGGCCAATGCCTGAGGACTTGACTGAGGCTGATGATGAAGGCGAGCCTGGGGAAGGAACTTCCAAGGACAGAGGGGGAAGGGCCAGCCAGGAGAGACCCTCAGGACCAGAATGATTCCATCTCTGTCCCCTGGATACCCACCTTCCAAGAATTGTAGGAAAGCCTGCCTGCAAAAACAGCCATCTTATTTGCTAGTTCACAGAGACGGGAGTGAATTGATTTGTAGGTGCCCAGCTAGAGATGTAGGGGTATAACACACATTCATCCCCCAACTCAGCAGCGTATGCGTGCGCATGCACGGGCACACACACACACACACACACACACACACACACACTGACCCAACATTATATATTCCATAGAATATGCTCTAGAATTCCCATTCTCAGAGCACACAATGCTTTTTCATAAGCATAGATATGTTATATCACATCACATAAGCACATTCAGTCATGTACCCCCTAAACATATGCTGACAGTCATACACCAACAGACACAGAGATACTGCATACAGATGTGTACATTGCTTGTGAAAACATAAAAGTGCACCCAGAGCCTTGGTGTTCCAAGATGTCCTTTGAATGCTCCCCATATGGGTGGTTTGCAAATGTACCCTGCAAATTGCACTTCAATAAAGTATTTGCCTCCTCATAAGCATTTATGGGACTAAAAGTAAAAGGCAAAGCCAGTGGTGGGCCAGGATGAATTCTGTCTGAATTCTGAGTCACAGGGGTGAGGAGCACAGGTGTGTTCAAAAGAATAGAGTACTGAGGTAAAGAAAAGTCATCTTATACATGACATTGCTAACAGGTGTGCACATGCTTTCATAGATATATTCATATCATATGCTGGTCATTGCATTCCACACCATAGTGTATGTCCTCAACTCTGTGAGCTCTAAGGGGTTTGATCTAGTTTAGTGAGCCAGACCATATAACTCTGTTTTTTCCTTCTTCTGGACCAATCCTAGAATCTGGATCCAGGTCTTCCCTGTGTTCAGGGCTGTTTCCAAGGGGGAAATAGTTCCCAGAACCTGTCCCTGGCTATTCCCTATCCAACCAGTTGGTTGGATAGGGAATAGCCAGGGACACAGCCTTGGAGCCAGCAGAAATCCAACCCTCCTACATTGCATGGTATTCACAAATATAGGATAGAGAGTAGAGACTAGGTACAGTGGAACATCATAGGGAAAATTAGAGATGAGTGTGTTGGGAGTTTTGGAGTAATTTGGTGTGCTTGGAAGGAGGGCTGCTGGTTTGGGGCTGGAAAGGCATTGAGTCTACAGAGAAGTCTGATATCAGCTCTGAATCACATTCACCCTGGCTCACCACTTCAGCTCCTCCAGGATAGGCCAGTCTTCAGGTTTGAGCTATGCCAGGAGATATATTAAAATGAATCTGGGGCTTGACTTATAGGTATAACTGAGCAGTAAATTTCTACTATCATGAGAGATTATTAGGGTCATTGTACTTCAAATCATTTTAAAATATGCAGGTATTTTGTGATTTTCTTCACAAAATAATAAAATTCATAAGTCTGGCCCTAGGTCTGTCTTGTTCATCTTTGTATTCCCATGGCCCAAACCATGCCTAGCATATAGGTATATAAATATTTGCAAATCAAAGTGAAGAGAATTGAAGCACATAGAGTCCAAAATTGGAAGAAGGTGTGTGTCAGTTTCTTAGGAGATTTTAATGTTTTTCCATATTTTTATTGGTGCATTATAGTTGAACGTATTGATGGGATTTGTGTTACATATTTGTACATGCACAAAATATAACAATATAATTTGGCCAATATCACTCTCCAGCACTTGCCCCTCCTCCCCTTACTTCCACCCCCCCCCCCCCCCCCGCCCCGTCCCTTTCCTCTACTGATCTCCTTTTGATTTTCTTGAGATCCTTAAACCCTGTTTTAGTCAGCTTTTTCACTGCTGTGACCAAAAAACCTTACAAGAACAATTTTAAGGAGGAAAAGTTTATTTGGGGGCTCAGGGTTTCCGAGGTCTCAGTCCGTAGATGGCTGGCTCCATTGCTGTAGGCCTGAGATGAAGCAGAACATGGCAGAAGAGTGTGGTGGAGGAAAACAGGTTAGAACATGACCAAGAAGCAGAGAGCGAGCTCTGCTCAACAAGGACAAAATATATACCCCAAAGGCACACCCCCAGCAACATCTCCTCCAGCCACACCCTACCTACCTATTGTTTCTACCCAGTTAATCCCTATCAGGGGACAAATGCACTGATTACATTAAGATTCTTGTAACCCAAATCATTTTACCTCTAAACTTTCTTGTATCATTTCACATGTGAGCTTTTGGGACACTCCTAATGTCTAAACCATAACCCTCACCCGGCCCGCATCTATCTTTTCTTTTTTTCTTCTCTAGTTTCCATATATGAGAGAAAACATAACCTTTGACCTTCTTTCAAGAGGGTTTTCTACCATCTCTGTCCTCAAATCATGTTGAAGTGGAATGGGTGGGTATGCAGTAAAGACCATATTGGTGGTACCAGATGGATTAGGGAACTCAGAGTAAGCTTTTTGTTGACATAATACAATGTGCAGGCTCTATTAGAACAAGTGATCACTCCCCCCCTATAGAATCCTGGTCTGTTGTAGAGTAGGGGTGATAACTGACTACCAGGCATAATTTGGATGCAGAAGCAAAATTCTTCCAGAGTCAGATATGTATTTTGCTCTGCCTCTGCTATTCCAGATGAGGGGATCAGTTTCTTGTTTCTTTTTTATTATTATTTTTTAAAGAATTTTTTTAGTTGTAGATGGACACAATATCTTTATTTGATTTATTCATTTTTCATGTGATGCTGAGGATCAAACCCAGTGCCTCACATGTACAAGGCAAGTGCTCTGCCACTGAGCCACAATCCCAGCCCTCTTTTTTTATTATTATTTTTCTTTTTCTTTTTTGGTACCCAAGATTGAACCCAGGGTGCTTAACCACTTAGCCACATACCCAGTCTTTTTTATTTTTTATTTTGAGACAGAGTCTCACCAAGTTGCTGAAACTGAACTAGTGATCCTCCTGCCTCAGCCTCCCAAGTTGCTGGGACTACAGGTATGCACTACCACATCTGTCAAGATCAGATTCTCCATAGTGGAACCACTATGCCTAAGACATCTTGAATGTCAGCAATTCCATACTGGGGTCCTCCAGTTAAGGAATAGTTTCCATCACTTTGTTAAAGACAATATTTTGGGAATCAAGCTGGATAAAGTAAGTTCGGGGTGGGCAGAAATGAACAAAATCTTATGTTCCTGAAATAACAAAATAATAAATATTTTCTGGTCTAAAGAATATTAATGTGTATCATGCACTAGGCTAAGTACTTACATATGTAGCAAGAAATTTTTATTGAAATAGTCATTTTGGGCTTTGAACATTTTATACCTCCACCTCTCAAAGAAATTACCTAAATCTTTATATCCCTACCTAAACTTAAAAGTTTGTTTTTTGTTTTTTTTTTTTTTTTTTTTTTTTTTTTTTTTTTTTTTTTGGTATGGGAAGGTCCAAGACAGAAACTGTCAGAAACTCTGTCTTAGACTGTTTTATGACTAGGGATCCTAAGTTTTGACAAACAATTCACTTAGAGGTAAATTGTTCACAGTCTGAAAGGGGTTAGAGTTGAAGAAATGGAAGCTTCTGGGCCTAAATAGGGAATATTTGCCAAGACTAAGCAAAGAAATGGGGGTCAGTCATAGTGGTACATACCTGTAATCCCACTATTCTGAAGACTGAGGCAGAAAGATCCAAGTTTGAGTCCAGCCTCCGTAAATTTGGGACCATCTCAAAATAAAAATTTAAACAACTAGTGATATAGCTCAATGGTAGAGAACTCCTACATTCATTTTCCAATACTTCAAAAGAAGAAGAAGGAAAAGATGGATAAGAGGAGAAAAGAAATGGGATTCTTAAATATTAGGCTTTTTTTCTGTTTTAACATATTATACAAATTTAACAACTTAAAACACCACCCATTTATTATCTTGCTATTCTGAGTCAGAAAACCAGGCTTTGCTAAGAGCCTCCCAAGACCAAAATCAAGGTGTCAGCTGGGTTGAGCCCTTAACTGGGGGCTCTGGGGAACAATCTGCTTTAAGCTCATTCAAACTGCTGGCAGAATTCAGAACCTTTTGATTGTGTCCTTGATACAAGTCCCCTTCATCTTCAAGACAACAAAGGCATATTAAATCTTTCTCATTTTTTTTTTCACTTCTCCTTTTAGTACAAGAGAAAGATCTTTAGGGTTCATCTGATTAGTTTAGGTCTATCTGAATAAGCCAAGATAATCTCCCCATTTTAAGGCCAGCTAATTATTAACCTCAATTCCATCTGCAAATTCCCTTTTGCTATATTCACAAGAATAACACCAGAAGGCAAAGGTAATAGAGCCAAAATTGTGTATCACAGAGTCTCTGGGGGAGGAAAGCAGCCTGGAATCCACTTCCACAGAGGACCCAGAATAGGGAACACTCAGAGTTAAGACTCTGGAAATTGGAGAATGGTCACTATGGTGGAGTAGACACTGGAATCTCAGAGCATGTCCCCTAAGGGTACACAGGCTTGAACAAGACCCATACCAGCATAATCAGCATGGCCTGAAGACCAAAGGCCTGTTCCAGATATCCTGTCTAACATAAAACACCCAGAGATGTTTACAAGCCCCTAACTAGGGAAAGAGAGAACAGAAAGAATACCACAAAACACATCTGAGATCAAATTCCCCATAAGGTAGGTGGTTAAAAGCTTAAATGCAAATTGCCTGATTTAGAGAATCAAGGAAATGTATATTTTTATAACTGTCGTTGAATCATTCTAAACTGCTGTACATACATTATCTCATTTTGTCATTATAATAATATTAGGAAATTTAAATTATTATGTTCATTTTTCCTGATCAGGAAACCGAAGCCCACAAAGCAACTAAAAATATTAGATTTGATTTGTTGAAGAGTTACTTATGCTAGGTCCTAGGCCAATTAATTGTTTCAATTAATCCTTACAACGATATGAGAAAGAGGCCACTATCATCTCATTTTGAAGCTCTGGAACTAGCTTTCCTACTTTCACAGGGCTCCTAAGTCACATGGAATGAAATACAAGTTTGTCATACTTTTTTTCATGGGGAGATAAGAAAGGGACTTCCTGAGCTAGGCAAGCTCCTTGCTTCCTGGGGAACGAAGGTTATAGGCCGTAACCATGGTAACGGGGGAGAAGGATCCAGTTGTGAAAAGGAAAGCTTGTGAATCTCTAGCAAGTCTGCCCAATGTGCTGAAGTGTGATACCAGGACTGCAGCCAAAAACAAGGGACCACCTGCTGCCCTGGGGAAGGGATGCCAATAGCCAGGCCTGCACACATGCAGCTGTGAGAAAGGAGTTTTGGAGTCACTGCTAAATTTCTAAAGGGCTGTCAAGACTGCTCAAGGGCCCTCCTGCTGAGAACAAACTGTTGTGTTTTTTTTGTTGTTGTTGTTGTTGTTGTTTTAGTTCTTCTGCCTCCCACAGGACCTTAGGACTCACCCACTTCTCTCCTTAAGTCATTACTGTGGGATACCTCAGCAGGGCTAAGATTTTGGAGGTACACCCCTCTTCAGTGTTCCCAGTTAGCTTCTCTCCCACAAAAGCTTCTTCAGCCCAACCCACCCCACCTTTTTCTTTTTTAGTGTTTGGCTGCTAACCCCAGATGAAAATAAAAGTATCAACCTTGGGAGGAAATCAGATTCATAGGGACAGAGGCCATTCAACTGGAGAAAGATCTAGAGCAAGCACTAGGAGCCAGGAGCAGGAGGAGAGGTGGGTGGATTCTAGCTTGAGACTAGAATCAGAGATGGATGTTCAAGTTGGATTAGAGCTGGGAACAAAGTCATGGCCCAAGACAGGACAAGTGTTAAGCTGGCCTTAAAGTATAAAATATAAGAAAGAGCATGTATTTGGAATCAATCAGAGTTAGGTTTTGGTTCTGAAACATCACTATCTCTTCTATAAAACCTATCAGGATCATTAGTAGGAAATGCTATAGAATTAAAATGTAAATGAGATAATGAATGTAAACTACCTGCCAGTTTCTGGAAGATAGTGATTTCTTAATGATGAATAGCAGCTATGATGTTATTCGTGTCCCTCTGGTAGTGGTTTTACTTTGAGGATTCTGGGGCATGGTTGTCCAGCTGTGCTTGGGCTAAACCTCCACTGGCTTCTGGGCTGTGCTGACAATGCCAGGTTTGGCCAGCAGAGGGAGCAAGGAACTCCTTCCCATCCCTCCTTAGAACTCCCTCCCAGGCCTCAGGATTGCATTGCTTTTGAAAAGCTGAGAGAATTACCCAGGGAGAAATGAAATCTTTGGGACAAGGAATGATGTTAGGGAATTGTGATCTCAATTGATCTGTGAAAACCCTTCTTCCTATATTTTACACAAGGAGTAAAGCACATCAGTGGTGATGATAAGAGACATTACTGAGGAGATTGTGCCCAAATCAGCGTCTAAAGCAGCTCTGTTGAAGGTAGTACCACTAATGGCTGGGAACATTCAGGACTGAAATGAATGAAAATTCCCTGTACTTTTCACCCCTAAATTACACAGATCCTTTCCTGTTATTGCTTTTCCATTTTCAGTACCTTAGCCTGCTGACCTCAGTCTTTCCCTTCATCAACAGGTCCTATAGGGCCCTGGAGACTAATAACTCGGGGGCCATTTATGGAAACCCTTTCTGAATGACCTTCCTTTGGCTCTTCTATCCCTCAAGTGAAGCCCTGACTTGGCAGATCCAGACTTCTCTTAGCCTACCTATGAAGGCCTGTGTGTAAAGCAAAGTATAACCATCTAGCTAGAGTCAGCCTCTGGGGATATGCCTCTGCTCTCTCCCAGCACAAGCCCCGGGAATGTAGAAGTCCAGTCCTGCCCCTCGTTTCTTTCTTTTACCCAACATCCCTTCCTGCTCTGGTTCCAGCCACCTGCTTTCTCAGCCTGCTCCCTCCTTGTTTATTCCAAGAGAAGAGCCTCCTGTGTGGGCAGGGGTTGCGTAGGCAGAGAGTCAGCACAGAAGTACGTCTGCACATCATAGAAATGCAGTGAAGAGAAGGCCTTGAAAGGTGTGGAAGAGGCAACCTAATCAGACACAGAGAGAGAAGCTAAGCAAAGGGGGAAGGGGCAAGCAGGCACCCCAAGGACTGAACTATGACTCTTAGCACTGGATCCAAGCTTCCTGGATGTTAAAACCAGGGTGCTGAAGGAAGAGCACATTACATGACTCTGGGTCATGAACACTGCGTTTCCTGGACCTACAAGCTAGTTGGAAATAGTAGTATCTAATAAAGCAAGTTATCTCTCTGTGTGTTAGGAACTATATTCTCCTTTCTTTGGCTGTTTCTCCTGAATACTTACTGAAGCATTAAGTGTTCCCCTTTATCTTAGTTGTACTACAGAATACTGGAAGAAAGGTCATGTGCCCATATTGGAGCACAGATGGCTGAAATTTCCCCAAAGGAGAGATAAATTGTTCTAGATATAAAATTGAAGATAGGTGGTCCAAAATCCCTCTCCAAAGAGCAAAGCAAAACAAAAGAAAACAAAAAATAGCAGATAACCTACGCAGGTCAAGGCTTGAGTTAAAGACAGCTTCACTCAGGACTGACCCTGAGCCTACTTCAGAACGTCTTGCAATTGTTTCCTGTGACTATCCATATTGACTTTGCATTTCCCTCCTTGCTCAGATCTAAACCCTCTCTGTTTCCTGGAGCTGAGCAATCTCATTCTCTCCATATGCTGGATTACTCTTGGCATAGATGAAATTTCCTGATTTTGAGATATGAGTGTCTACCCTCTTAACACTACATTTTTATCCCCTCTCTCCCTCTTCTGCTCATGGTATTTCCCCCTTCTCCACTATAGCTATTTCATCTTCTTCTTCTTTTTTTTTTTTTTTTGCCATCCTTGTAAACCATCTTCATGAAATCAATCTAACTCACCATCTCCTGACTCTCATTTCCCATTACCCACTAGCATAGAATATGAGCAAGGTCCAAAGATGATGAATAATATTGAACAAACAAGAAAACTGAAGTTCAAGTTTCCTGAAGTCAAGCATGAACATTCAGCTGAAGCTAGAATCTGAGTGTGAGATAAAAAGACAGAAAACAAGTAATGAGAAGTGTGGGGAGTACTTTTGATAAACTATTGAAGAAAGGGGCACGTATTAGTCTGCCCAGGCTGCCATAACAAAATACCACAAACTGGGTAGCTTATACACCAGAAATACATTTTCTCACAATTTCAGAGCTAGAAGTCCTAGGTCAAGGTACTTGAAGATTCAGTTTCTGATGAGAGCTTTCTTCCTGTTTTGCAGACAATTGCCTTCTCACTGTGTCCTCACGTGATCTTTCCTCTGTGTATAGTGGAGAGGGAGACAAAGGGAGAGAGATTGATCTCTGGTCTCCTCTTCATTTTATAAGGACACCAGTTCTATTGGATTAGGAACCCACTCTTATGACCTCATTTAATCTTGATTACCTCATTCAAGGCTCTATCTCCAAATACAGTCACAAAGGCAGGAAACAGAGCCCTGAAATAACAAGCAAAAAAACAATTACAAGGCATGTTATTGTAGGAATTACCATATTAAAAGATACAGGGTGTTACATACGCACACAGAGAAGGCACCTAATCCAGACTTGTGGGACTAAGAAAAGCTTGTCAGATAAATTTTGTTCCCTATAACTTCTTTTACAAAAGCCTAAAACTCTTATATTCTCAACTTCTTTGAGCACTCCCAACACCTGTACTAAAACTAACAGTCCCCTAAGAATGGTATATCTTAGGGGATATACCATCCCCTGCAGAAAGGGATAACTTCTCATCTCTCAACATCATCTATCAGATTTGGGGTCTTACATGCATCGTGTTGCTTCCTCATTCTCAATAGACCTTGAAACTCATAACTTTTCTTCCTCATTGCTGACAACTGCCAATCTTCTGGAACTCACCTATTTCTCACTTTAAGCATTGTCACCTCCTGCATAGTCTCTCTCTTCTCCATGTCCAGCAGAGATTTCATGGCCCATTATTTCATTCTTGTCCCTTTATTTTTCCATCCTACAACTGTGTTAAAATTCCAATTGTGAGTGCTAGGGTTGTGGCTCAGTGGCAGAGCACTTGCCTCGCACATGTGAGGCACTGGGTTCAATCCTCAACACCACATAAAAAATAAGTAAATAAAATAAAGATATTGGGTCCATATATAACTAAAACATTTTTAAAGATATTTAAAAATCCCAATTTTGGATAAAGCAAACCATCAATATTCTTTATGTTTGCGTCCAACTAGCTGATCTCTGCTAGAGAAATTGATACACTGGAAATTTATGGTCATCAACCCTCCAGTGGGCCCCAATATTTTCCTATTGTCTTACTACTTTCCTCTTGTCTCCATTTTCCTTCTCCCATTATATGGTTTTCTTGGCTCCTAAAATTTTAAACACACATCAGTCATGGATAGCCTAATCTTCAACTTCAAAGAGATAACAGAACTATAAGACATCAGCTTCTACCAAATTTATAAATCTACTGTGTTAGTTAAAATGCTGGTTAGGTTGCTATGACAATAGAGAAAAAAAATTACAGAGACGTAAGATTGTAGGGTTTTTTCTTCTTTTTCATGCATAAAAACCAAGAATGATAAAATGATTTGAGATGTCATTCTGCCATCCCTAGTGAGTTACCCTTCCTGCCTAATCAAAGATGGCTTCCTTCATATCCCCAATCAGCCTGCAAATGAGAGCAGTAAGTGGGTCTGTGGCTCTCCTTTAAGACCCTGACCTGGATGTTTCACTTTTCACTTCCACCTACAACCACTGTCCTAGTCATAAAGCTGCAAAAACAAAAACGGAAATAGAGTAGTTATGTGGTTGGCTGTGACTTAGTTTCATCTATAACTATCCTCTTCTACTAATTTTCTCTTACAATTGAGATTGATTCTCCCATCATCTCCACTTCTACTCTGGATTCTATACATCCTTTCCCTCTCAGCAACCTGGCATTATTAAATAGCCATTCTTTGGAAGATTCCTTGGAAAACTGGGAGTGGAACCACCATTTGACCCAGCTATCCATCTCCTCAGTCTATACCCAAAGGACTTAAAAACAGCATACTACAGGGACACAGCCACATCAATGTTTATAGCAGCACAATTCCACAATAGCTAAACTGTGGAACCAACCTAGATGACCCTCAGTAGATGAATGGATTAAAAAAATGTGGCATATATACACAATGGAATATTTCAGCAATAAAGGAGAATAAAATCATGGCATTTGCAGGTAAATGGATGGTATTGGAGAAAATAATGCTAAGTGAGGTTAGCAAATCCCCAAAAAACAAATGCCAAATATTTTCTCTGATATAAGGTGACTGAGCCATAATGGGGTAAGGAGGGGGAGCATGGGAGGAATAGACAAACTCTAGATAGTGAAGAGGGATGGGAGGGGAAGGGAGGGAGCGGGGTTAGCAATGATGGTGGAAGTGATAGACATCATTATCCAAAGTACATGTATGAAGATCTGAATTGGTGTGAACATACTTTATATACAATCAGAGATATGAAAAATTGTGCTGTATATGTATAATAAGAATTGTAATGCATTCTGCTGTCATGTATTTAAAAAATAAAATCAATTAAATATTTTTAAAAATTAGCCATTCTCTGTGTTGCCATTCTCTACATATCTATCAATCTTCAGACTTTTATATATATTGGAGTAATTCCATCTGAGAACAAGTTATAGTTCTCTCACCTTAAAAATCTTTCCTTTCACATCCATCTCTAGTTCTGCCCCCTTTCAATTTCTTAATAATCATACTTGTGGGACTGGAGCTGTAGCTCAATGGTAAAGTATTTGCCTCACATGTGTGAGGCACTGGGTTTTATCCTCAGCACCACATAAAAATAAATAAAGATACTGTGTGTTCATCTACAAGTTAAAAAATTTAAAAAAATAATCATACTTGCCTAATGTTACTCATCCCACCTCCTCCTTTCATTCAGTTTTTAGTGTACCCTCCTATCTTCTGTCTCAATGATCTCACCAAAATGGCTCTTTTCAAGGTTGCCAAGGATCCCCAAGTCACTAAATTCATAGTACACTTCTCAATCCTTGTTTGTTTGTTTGTTTTTTTAATCCAGGAGAAGCATTTGAACAAGATCAGCACTTTCTCCTTAGATCACTTCTTCTTTAGCTTTATGATGCTTCATTCTTTTTTTTTAATTTTTTATTGTTGGTTGTTAAAGAGAGAGAGAGAATTTTTTAATATTTATTTTTCAGTTCTTGGCAGACACAACATCTTTGTTTGTATGTGGTGCTGAGGATCGAACCCGGGACGCACGCATGCCAGATGAGCACGCTACCGCTTGAGCCACATCCCCAGCCCAATGCTTCATTCTTTTGTTTTCTTCCTACCTTCTCTGTCATAGTCTCTCTCTATCCAGCCTGGTCTGGATAGTCTTTCCCTATCCAGCAGGCTGGTCTTTATCCAAGCTTTGTTAAATGGTCTTCTTCAAGTCTGAATGTAGTAGCACGTGCCTGCAATCTTGAGAGACTGAAGCAGGAGGATTACAAGTACCTCAGCAATGTACTGAGACCCTGTCTCAATATGAACTGGGAAAAGTGGCAAAGTGCCCCTGGATTCAGGAATCCCCAGTACCAAAAATAAATTTAAAAAGTCATCTTCAGATTTCTTTATAGCCTCTATGACTTTAGTTCTAGCCACCATCATTTCTCACCAGAATTACTATCATAGAATCCTATTGCCCTCCACACTAACTGCCACTGCAATCTTTCCAAATCTTTCTTTCTAAATCTCAACAAATTCCCAATGTTTCATTTCTTTCTTGCTTGGTTTATAAGGGTCTACACTTGCTGCTTCCTGAGATGGAAGGTATATCCTTTTTCTATTGCTGCTGTAGCAAGTTACCATGAATTTCATGGTTTAAACAATACCTACTCATTAGTTCACATACTTGTTGGCCAGAAGTCTACAGTGTAGCTGGGTTCTCTGTTCAGCATATCACAAGGTATTATCTAGACTAAATTTTCTTCTAGAGATTTGGAGGAGGACTGAAGTGTCTGTTCCTTTGCTGGCTGTCGGCTTGGGGCTACTGTCAATGAGAAGCCACTCTCAGGCACTTACCCCACATGCTTCCCATCCTCCAGTTAGCAACTTCCTCCTGCATTCCTCCAAGTGAGCTTTTCTATCTTCAAGCCATTGATAGTGTGATGAATCCTTATTCTACAAATCTCTCTGATTTCTGCTGCTGTGAGCAGCCAGAGAGAAAGTCCTTCAAGAGGACTTAGTGTGATGTGGTTAGGACTAGTTGGACAATTTTCCTAACTTGAGGTCAACTGATTAGTAAAATGAATGACATCTGAAAAATCCCTTTGGCACATAGCATAATCATGGAAGTAGTACCTCATTATATTCAAAGGTCCACACACGTTCAAGAGAAGATTCTACAAGGGTAATCATTTTGCAGGTCATCCCGTGATTCTATTTGTCCCAGGAGAGGAAGCCATGGAAAACATTTTCCTGAGGAATTGCTGCTTGAAAACTGAGATCCCATGGATGAGAAAAGAAGGAAGAAAGAAGTTTCCAGAGAGCATTGCAAAAGGCATATAACTGGGGGATGGATAGCAATAAAAGTGTGTGGGGGTGCTAAATGAACACCAGTGTGTCTACAGAGGAAAGAAAAAAAAAATACAGTGCCCTGAAAGAAGTAAGATAGAGAAGTAAGCAGGAGTCAGGCCATGAGGGTTTCACAGATCCTGTTAAAGGGTTTTATCTGTCCCAAAAGGAAAGGCCAGAGAGCGGCATAATTAATTGGCATTCTGAACACAGCACTATAGCTATAAGGTAGAAGGTGGATGCAAAGAGGCACCAGAAAAATGCAGTGGCCCACTTAGGAAACTAGGAGAGTGGTGCAAGGTAATGTCTATGGATGTATAAGCAGGCAGAATCAAAGAACACTCAGTAGCTAAAATCAGCAGCACTTCATGATTGATTTAATACAGGAGTGATGTAGTTATGTTCCCCAGGAAGCAAACTCTAAAACAGAGATTCCTGTAAAGGATGTTTACTAAGGAGTGCTCTTGGAGTGCAAGAGAGAAAATTAAAATAGGATTGGGCAAAGGGAGAAGCTGAGCAATAATTCAGTACCAACAAAGGCCTCAGTCAACCCCATGAGGAGCTCTGGGGCTGTGAACACATTTCAGAGTTGTCCTTTATTGGAGTAGGAGGACTGAACCCTTCTATCCCTGCACTGAGCAGTCAATGGAAACAGGAAGCCTCAGAAAGGGTACATGACCTTGGATGAGCTGGCTTTCTTCTGTTCAGACAACTCCTGATAGGAGGTTGACAGTTGAAGGCCATCTTCCAGAAGCACTCTCAGCAGCTGGAGAATAAATCCATCATTTTTGGAGAGGAGTCTAGGTTTTGCATCACAGCCTTCATTATAGGGGTGAAGGAGCATAAAGGAGGAAGGCATTTAGAATAATTCCTAAATTTCTGATTTATGTGTCTTGATGGATGCATTTATGACATGTATTGCAATCACTGGTTTACTTGGAAAAATCTCCATTAGAGCGGGAGCTACTTAGAGACAGAATATATGCAAGACAATGCACAGTGGTCCTATATCTGGCACATGGTTTGTTGGATAAGTGAATGCAATCTAATTCTGTTTCCATTCCTCTCTCCCTTCATTTCCTTTGTCCCCATCCAATGTGGGAAAAGTTCAGCAGGTTATCTGTGGCTCCACCTGTGCTGGAGTTGAACAAATAGCAAATCAAGCTCTTCTGGTCCAGAGCTCTCAGAAGAGCAAGGCAGGCAGTGCCAGGAGAAAAGGACGTGGAGGTAGGTGATGACCCCCCCACACACACACCCCAGATTTAAGCTCTCCTCCAATTCCTCAGCCCCTATAAACACGGACAGGACTAGGTCCTCTCCAAAAGATTAATTAGATACATACTCTAAATTCCCCATAAACCCAGACCCCATCCCCACTCTAACCTGCTCGTCTAATGAAGCCCCCATCTCTTGCAGCCAATTCTGGGGGCCAGAAAATAGAATTTCCAGTCATACCAGAATTTTTTGGAATGAAAAACAATGGATAGGGAACGGGGCTCATACAGTAGAGGAGGCAAATCCTGCCCAAAGAAGCTGAACCCACTTCAGTCTTGCAGGGGCACCCTTCAGCTTCCTGCTCTACATCCAGTGGCCAGGCCACCTTTGGCCCCCGCTCGTGGGAACCTGACACTCTACACAGGCGGCTCCACCTGCGCTGAGAGCAAACAGGGAGCGTCAGCGTGTCGGTTGGGGGTGGACGCTGCCTGGAGACCAAAGAGACAGCCAGGCCTCCTCTCTTTTGCCTGGGTCCAGGGTGGGTGGTTAAAACACTACCCAATCCTGTATATCCTAGGCATTTTTTCACCTCCATCTACCGCCGACCTCCGCACCCTAGTAAGACTCTTTCTTTGGGCAGCCCTTTCCCCTGCCAGGACTTCCCGGTGGAGAAACAACGCCCTCCCCCATGCCTCCCAGTTTCTGAGGGTTCCTTGGAACCCTTGAGTAAAAAAGCCTGGTGTTGGATATCAGATAGAGATGGGGTGGTTCCATAAAGCACTTGCAGAAGCTACCCCAGCCCCAACTCACAGTTGGGAGCTGCAAGGAACTAAGAAACTACCTTAAGTGTAGTGTGACGGTCACTGCAGCCACTGCGGCACAGTACCATAAACGCCGTGCCAAGCAAGCTAAGGCACCTGCGCTGCAGTGGGTGACCCCTGAATTCAAACCCACCTTTCCATCGCCACCTCCATGTCCCCTGACCCACCAGAGAAAGATGCTGGCCCGGCAAAAACTGCACACTGCCCCCTCTCGCCCTCCCTCTCCCGCAATCTCCCTCCGCCCCGCCAACACTAGCGCGCGCCAGCATACACACACACACACACACACACACACACGCATCACACACGAATTCCCCAGAATTCATGGGGGCGTTGGTAAAGGGAGGTGGGCAGGAAAGACATCTCTAAGAGAAGACCAGAGATCTAGGGAGGGGGCGAGCCTGGAGGACAGTCACGCTGGAGGACGCGTAACTCCAGAGCGAGCGAGGAAGGAAGGCGGAGAGTCACCTGGTGGGAGAGGCAGACCAGAGCCTGGGAGGAACCAGAGCCTAGGCGGGGCGATCCCAGGAACTGAGGGCCGGGGGCCAGGGCTGAGGGCGGAGACCAGGCGGGGCAGGGGGTGGGGTAGGCGGGAGTCTGAGCCAGAATCTCGGCATGAGCAGGTGGAGCCTTGGCGGGAACCCGCCTGGCGGAGCAGAGTGAGGCAGCGGGCTCAGCTGGGGCCATGGAGCTGCTTAAGCTAAACCGGAGCGTGCAGGGACCCGGACCCGGGCCGGGGGCTTCACTGTGCCGCCCAGGTGGGCCCCTCCTCAACAGCAGCAGTGCGGGCAACCTCAGCTGCGAGCCCCCTCGCATCCGCGGAGCCGGGACAAGAGGTGGGTGCCTCCCTAAGCCCCCACCACATGCTCCTTTTCACCGCACCCCGTAACACTAATAGAGCTTCCCCCGCGACTTCTACACTGCAGCGACAACCCCCCCCCCTCGTCCCCCTCATAGAACTAGCTCAGCCCCCAGAGAGCTCCCCCTCACACATTTGGTCCCTACAGCTCTTAAAACCACATCACAGCTTCACGTCACCTGGTCAGAACCCTTCACATTCCGGCCCCTGGTCACACCAGAGCTCTTGGTAACCCCCAAACAACAGCACCACACAGCACACATAGTTAAGGGACAAGAACCTCCCCTTGCCGGCCCTTCTAGATCTTTTTCTATCCCCCTTTTACATCCAGCTCACAGAACCACAATAGGAAAGGGCAGGAAGAAAGGAAGGCAAAAAGAAGGAGCTGGTTGAGGGAGGGAGCACGGTGGGAGGTCTGAATGGGAAGTTAGTTGTAATCTGCTGTGTATCCCACCCAACACCAGCCTTCCCAAATAAGATTTTCAAGTCTGAATTAGACTGGACACTGGGGGATGCCACCTTAGAGCTGCCTGACTGCATTATTTTGCTCATCCTCAAACCCCTCTGCCTCCCAAGTTGGAGTTCTCAAGGCTCTGTGCTTCCCAGCTCTGTTCTTGCTTGCCCTCTCCCTTCCTCCCTCCTCTCATAATGTCTCCCAGCCACTTCCAAATCCTCTCTCCACTCTGCCCTTCTCTAAGTCTCACCCTGCTAGACAGGCTGCCCCTTTCATCACCCCTCCCTTTGTGTTACTATCACCTCTTCCCATCCATCCATCTTTAAACTGCTTCCAAACACCCAGTCCTCAGAGTGACTTTTACTCCTCCTGTCAGCTAGCATCTCATTGTCTTGATGAACATCTTAAAATACATTTTCTTCCCTTTCTGAACCCTTCCTGTCCTGACTGTTCTCCGAACACCTTCTATCCTAGTCCCTAGGTTAGGTGCTGTGGACACAGGGATGAACTAGACCCAGTGTACACATTCATCAGTCCATAGTCAAGTGCAGAGAAAGACCAATGGAAAAATCACAGTCAGTAAGGAACAAAAGGGCTGGACTAGGGGACCCAAAGGAGATAGGTTTGAGAACTTCACAGAGGATGATCCCTGGGAGCTGGCATCTTGAAATTAGAGTTCAGTAAAAAGAAAATGAATGGGATTCTTTAAAAAAGGGAGCAATGATAAAGCAGAATAAGGTTTTTCTAAAATCAAGAAGGGAAATAAATTGTAACCCAAGTATTATTTATCACACAAAATAATTCATGCCTTTTTTTCCCCACTGGTTACACACTGTCACTTAGATTCTTTCATTCAGCAAATATTTATTGAACCAGAGATTGTGCTAGACAGCAGGGATATGAGTTGAACAAAACTGGCATAATTCCTACTTCATGGAGCTCAGAATTTTGTGGTGAAGAGAGATAAGTAAATAGAGAATGGCAACCTCAAGTGGAAGAGACAAGGAATACAATGGGGACACACAGGAGGAGCCACTCTGGCCTAGCCTAACCAAGGGATTGAAGTTGGCTTCCTGAGGAGGTGCTATGTAAAAATGAAAATGAAAAAGATGAGAGCAAGCCAGCTAAGAAGAGGCAGAAGATGCAAAAAGCATCTCAAGTAGCGGGGTAGGATGTGTTAAAAAGCCCAAAGTTTAAAACCGTGGCACTTCTGTTCAATGTCATATAGTTTCTGAGTGGCTGGATCATGTATCATTAAAGATAAATAATAAACACTCAGGCTGGGGACCAGCCTAGAGAAATTACAGACAGCCTTAGGGGCCTGGCTAAAAAGTGTGGATTTTTATCCTGAGGACATTGGGAGCTACTTAAAGATTTATCAGTAGTGCCAGAATTAGTTGCGTAGTGTAAAGAATGGACTGGAGGATGAGGTAAAATGCAAAGGAATACTCTCGAAAGATATTATATTACACATGTCTGTGTGAAAGATGATGCTAGATTAGACTGAGGTCTTGACGGTGGGCATAGAGAGTAGTAGATAGATTTGAGAGTTCCTTCTGGAATGGAATCAACTGAGTAGAAGTGGAGAAGGTAGAAGGAGTCAAGGGATGACATCCAGTTTTCTGGCTTGGATTGTTGAGTCAATGTTGGTACTATGTAATGAGAAAGATATATATCAAAGGAGCAGGTTTGGAATAGGTAATTATAAACTCAGTTTGAAACCCACTAAGTTGAAATGCTGGTGGTACATCCAAGTGGGGTTACCAAATCAACTGTTGAATCCAGGGCTCTGGAACTTACCAACAGAAGATCAATATTTTAAAGCCAGACAGCTGGACTGGTCTTGCACAAGTATAATCCTATAATCCCAGCTACTCAGGAGGCTGAAGCAGGAGGATGATGTGTTTGAAGCCAACCCCAGCAACTAGCAAAACCCTACTTCAAAGTAAAAATGGGCTGGAGATGTAGCTCAGTAGTCAGGCACCCCTGGGTTCAATTCTTAGTAATAAATAAATAAATGTCAGAAAAATGAAAGTCCATGAAGGAGATTCAGACAGAACTGCCAGAGAGAGGAGCTATGTCCTTCTAGAAAGCAAGCAAAAAAAAAAAAAAAAAAAGACAGTTTTAAGCAGGGTGTGATAAGTGAGACCCAGTGCAGCTAATACAAGTCAGATGAGAACAAAACAGTTAGAAGAGCATCCTTTGGATTCAGTAACAAGAAATCCTTCGGAAGACTTGTAGGTATTAAGGTCTGACTACGTTAAGTTTAAGATTGGGCCAGCGGGAATGGGGTTGGGAAAATGAACAAAGGTATTTGACAAAAACTTCCAAGAACTTCACGGGAGGGGGAGAAAGAGAAATAATAGGGTAGTACCAGAAATAGGACTGGGTTAAGGAAGAATTATTTGTTAGTTGGTTGGTTTGTTTTGGTATATGCCTGTGTGTATGTATAGTAGTAGTATTAGTAGTGGTAGAAATAAGGGCATTTAAAACAATTTATATTTGAGGCAGGATTTTTCTATGTTGCCCAGGCTGGTCTCAAATGATCTGCCCACCTAACTAGCCTCTCACATTGCTAGGACTACAGGTGTATGTCACTTATAGGATATTTAAGATTTTTTGATGGAAGAAGGCCAAGAAAGAAGATTGAAGGTTCTGATAAGAAAGAAGAAAGTCTATAGAGCAAGGATCCCTGAAAAATCAAGATATAAAGTGATTCAGAGCACAGAGGCAATAATAGACCTCACTTAAACAGATATTGTTGCTCACACACATTGAAATGTTACCCAGGTAGTCAGATATTACACACATAGACTCATTCAGATATTACCCACACAGATTCAGATGTTATCCAGGCTCACTCCTATGTTACCAATAGAAATTTGCAAATTTTGTTCTGTTTTTTTCTTTCTTTTTTTTTTTTTTTTGGTATCAGGGATTGAACTCAGGGCGCTTAACCACTGAGTAACATCTCTGGCCCTTTTTCATGTTTTATTTAGAGACATGGTCTCCCTAAGTTGCCCATGGCCTCACTAACTGAGTTGCTGAGGCTGGATTTGAACTTGTGATCCTCCTGCTTCAGCCTCCTGAGCCACTGGGATTATAGAGATGCACCACCATGCCTGGCACCCACTTTATTCTTATACAAACTTGCAGAATTGCGTATCACTTATGTATACTCAGGTACTACCCACAGACGGATGTTACCCACATTCACTGTTTCCCACAGTCACTTAGATGTTACCCATCCACCAAACTCTACTCACTTTCATTTTATTATTATCCACACACAACTACATATTGCCCATGCTTGTTTAAGTAACCCTTCTCCAGATATTACCCATAAAGTTACAGTTATTACTCTTATATGCTCAGATATTATCAGAAAAATAAACTAAATATTACCTGTATTTACTCATGAGCTCAATAATTTCACTCAAATAAGATTAATAGCTGGGCATGGTGTCACTTGCCTGTAATTCCAGCAAGTCAGGAGACTAAGTCCTCAGTTTGAGGTCCCCTGGACAACTTAGGGGATCCAGTCTCAAAATACAATTTTTAAAAGAGGTTTGGTATGTAATTCAGTGGTAGAGCTTGCCTAGCATATGCAAGATCTAGGACCTATCCCCAGTCTCTCTCTCTCTCTCTCTCTCTCTCTCACACACACACACACACACACACACACACACACAAATACTTAATTGAGTTTAATTTCTCATGTTAACGTGTTAACATTTCCCACGTTTGGATATTACTTTTTAATCTCTCATCATCATCACTTGGCTATTCCTCCATTAACATACTTATCTATGAATGTAACCTATGCTTCTTGAAGGTGTTATCTACAAAATACAATGTTGTTTACAGAGACTTGGTTATTACCCTTGTTTGTTCAAATACCACAACACTTAATTAGTTATTCCCTGAATTTAAATTAACCCATGCTCAATATGATATTGCCTTACAGATATGCAAATATTACCTTTCCTCAAATATCACCCAGGGAAATAAGGTTTACTTTCACCCTCCCACATGTTATCTCAAAGACTAAAGTCTTACTCAGTGCTTACTCTATTACCTACATATCCTTGCAAGTATATTCTGCTCCATGGTTCGTATCCACTGATGTCTCCCATTAACCCAACTAATATCCATCGTCATTCAGATGCTTTTCATGCCTACCACAGAGACACTGATATTACATTGATGTCCATGTGCATAGATGACCAGTCCTTCCAGGATAGAGGCATCAGTAGCTTTAGTGTTCTGTGGAGTACTTTCTTAGAAAATCCTGGTTTTTATTTTATGTTACATTGTCTGGAATTTTGTGCTCAGACTTCTCTGCCAACGTCTGGACAGAACAAATGCAAATCTTCCAGACCCCAGAAGAACTGAACTGCCCCGGTCTTCTGAGTGCACTGGTCTGGTTTCTACTTTCCTCTCATTACCAAGAAGCTTATGCCTAAGGATAAACTATGAAGGCATTCATATCTGTTCCCCAGGAGCTGCTACCACCCTTCCTTTCACCCCAAGTTAGCTCTGGGTTCACTGTGGCCACTCATCTACTGTGACATGTGCGCACACACACACACACACACACACCCCTTAATATTTTAGTTTTGTGTGTGACTCTTAAAATTAATAGACTATTTTTAGTTTGGAGTTCACAGAAAAATTGAGCAGAAAATAGAAACTTCCTATATACTCTTCCTGCTACTCCCACATACAACAGTCATCGAGTTTATATTATTAACATCTTACGTTAGAGTGGCACATTCATCACAACTGATCAGCCAATACCGATACATACAACTAAGCACTGTATTTCACATTAGACTTCATTTTTGTGTTATACAGTTCTATGTGTTTTAAGAAATGTATAATGATGCATATCTACTGTTATAATATCATACAGAATACTTTCACTGCCTACAAAATCTCTTGTGTTTCACCTAGTCATCCCTCACTTTCCAAACCCTGTCTCTAAGATTACTTTTAATTAGAATTTTTCATGTCCACTATTTGTTCAACAGCAAAGATCTAGAAATACAGCAATGGCTTGGAATAAGATAACAGCTAGAAATGCCCAGTAAAATAGCAAAGTGTTGTACAATTTCTGGCCATTTTTTACTGGGACTTTGGCTTCTAGCTTTCAGGAATCCTCGAACAGATTAGGTTCATAAGGTGAAGCTTTCTGGTCTACTATAATTAGCCAAGCTCAAGGACATAGACATCAGCTGGATTAAAGAATGAGAAATATGCTTTTCACATTTCAGAGTGCTCTACCAACTTGAGATGTAATAATTGCATTGAGAATTAGTTGAAGAGAGATCTAGAGGAGGATGTAAAGAGGTGATGGAACTAGACAGATTAAGGAGGTAGGCAGGCTAGAGATGGAGAGTCAGTGGACTTGGAAGAGACACAGAGAGTAAAAGAGAGACCACTAGCTCTTTTATGTTTTCTGGGTCCAAGAACTTCTTTGACAAAATCCCCTTTCCAACGGTTCATTGTTTCCTCCTATATAAGTATGCACGTGCACGCGCATACACACCCACACACAATTTGTCCATAATCCTTCCTTAGAGGAAAAGTAATGAATCCAAAATCACAGCCTGTCATTGACCCCAAACACCCTCCATCATGTGTCTTCATGTCAAAGGTAGAGAAGGGAGGGCATACTGGAGCACCTAACAGAAGTGAAGGGTGGATAAAGAGGAGGAAGACAGGTGCTTTTTTGTCCTGAGAGACAGGTTCATTAACAAGCATGTATTGACTGCCTTCTACATGCCAAGCATTTTGCTGACTGCAAGCAATATCCTAGAAAAAGAGATGAACATTGTCCCTGCCCTCAAGAAGTCCATAGTCAAGTGAGGAAGACAGAAAAGTAAATATTGTAACAGAGTAAGAAATGTCATGATAGAATATAGAGAAAGGGAGAAAGAAGTATTTGAATTGATATTTGGGAGAAGAAGGAGGCAGTATTATGAATGACAGAGCAGTGAAGGAGCCAGAGGAAGACAAGCATTTTAGGGATCCAGAGACCTAGCCTCTATTCTGATTCAGCTCCTTACAACTATGTGTTCCTGAGCAAGTAATGTGACTGCTGAGTTCAGTTTGGAGATTTCTTAAAAATAACATTTACATGATGCCTACAAAAACTTCTGAATTGGTTGATGATATTTATAATAAAATGATTCCATTGGGAGCTCAGAAAAGAGACAGCCAATGTATGCGGCTGGAGAAGAGAGGGCTACCCCCTCTGTAGCTGGGAAGGTCTGTCCCCTGACATCTCTCCCTTCAAGCTCCAGTCTCCCTCATGCTGAGGCCATAGGGATAGGTGATTCCATCTACTTCAGTTCAAATTCAGTTTTGTGTAGGTCTGCATGGCTGTGATATGGAGATCCAAAGATGAATCCACCTCCCAAAAGGCAATGACACAAACGCATAGTGCCATTCTCCTGTCTCCTCTGAGTCACCCAGCAATGTGAGGGATATCTCCTGTGAGCTCCCATAGCACTTTGTTCGTCCTTCAGCCTCACTCTTCATCATACTACATGGCAATTATCTGTTTAAGTATTTGAGTTTCTGTCTCCACTGTGAACTTTCAGAGGGCAGGGAGTTTGCCCCAGTACCTGGCACAAAGGAAATCCTCTGCAAATGCTTATTGAGTGAGAACGAATGTATGGAGATGACTGAAATATAAGGCAGAAAGTAGAAAGGGCTCCAATAGATGCATAAAGAGCATGCCTGGGTCAGAAGAAGGGGAGATTAGTACCTTTCCAGAAGGGCCTTATAGAGGAAGTGGCAGTCAATCTGAGACTTGACATGGGGTGAGTAGGCATTAACCAGATACAGAAAATAAGTTTGTGATAGGGGCAGCAGTAGGGGGTTGGTGAAAGACTGAGAAGCCAACTTGAGCAGGGAAGGAGTCACGAGTGCATAAGATGCATTCAAGAAACTGAGTCATCCAGTTTTGCTTCAGTGGATACAGTGCAAGGAGGAGGTGGGAAGTGGGAGGTTCAGTTTGGAGCATCCTGATGACATGCTAAAGGGTGGCAGACAGTACAGAGTAGTGAAGGATCTTTTGTTTTGGAAGGGCTGTTTGTTTTAGAGAATAAGGACTTGATCTTATCTGGCTCAAAAGATAATGGGTGGTCAACAATGTCAAATAATACAGATAGGTCAAATAGTACAGATTAAGAAGGAACCTTTAGATTTGGTAGTTAAAATATTAGAGATCTTGAGAAGAAGTGATGGGGGACAGAGCCTTGTATAGCAATGGATTGGGTGACTGGGAAGACACAATAAAATCCTTTCAAGAAGTTTGCCTGCAGGGCTGGGGATGTGGCTCAAGCGGTAGTGCGCTCGCCTGGCATGCGTGCGGCCCGGGTTCAATCCTCAGCACCACATACAAACAAAGATGTTGTGTCCGCCGAAAACTGAAAAATAAATATAAAAAAAGAAAATTCTCTCTCTCTCTCTCTCTCTCTCTCTCTCTCTCTCTCTCTTAAAAAAAAAAAAAAAAGAAGTTTGCCTGCAAAAGAAGGGAAGCATTTGGAAACAACCCTTGAGAAGATACAGACTTTCTTAAGGAAGAGTAGAGTTAGGCCAACTTAACTAAGCCTTAAGGGGTTAGAAAGGTAAAGGATTTAAGTTCACCTCTTACTAAGGAGGTGGGGAGAGCATGTTCTTGGAATGTAGGGATCTGGCTGGGTGGTGAGGTTGGGGATAAGTTGGGTTGGGGGCTCTAGCTGAGTGGAGCCAGAACCCCTGACGCTCTCTCTCCCTTTTCTGCCCAGAACTGGAGCTGGCCATTAGAGTCACCCTTTATGCAGTGATCTTTCTGATGAGTGTTGGAGGAAATGTGCTCATCATTGTGGTCCTGGGATTGAGCCGCCGCCTGAGAACTGTCACCAATGCCTTCTTGCTCTCACTAGCAGTCAGCGACCTCCTGCTAGCTGTGGCTTGCATGCCCTTCACACTCCTGCCCAATCTTATGGGCACATTCATTTTTGGCACAGTCATCTGCAAGGCAGTTTCATACCTCATGGGTGAGTGAGACAACTACCCTAACCCTTGATCCTCTCCTTGACAAAGGTAGGGGTCTTCTCTAATTGGGGGAGAGGGTGAGGAAATAACACTGGTGAGTGTGTGGTGCAAATTTCCGAGGCCATTCCTTCTTTTTCCCTTGCTTAGGAGTGTCTGTGAGTGTGTCCACGCTAAGCCTTGTGGCCATCGCCCTGGAGCGGTACAGCGCCATCTGCCGACCACTCCAGGCACGTGTGTGGCAAACACGCTCCCATGCAGTTCGTGTGATCTTAGCCACGTGGCTGCTGTCCGGCCTGCTCATGGTACCCTACCCTGTGTACACTGCTGTGCAGCCAGTTGGACCTCGCGTGCTACAATGTGTGCATCGCTGGCCCAGTGCACGGGTGCGCCAGACCTGGTGAGGGTGCCCAAACGCTTTCTTAGAATACCTTCATCAGATGCTTATGACCATTCTCCGTAACAGTCCTCCAGTTGCTTCAAGAATCATGCCAATTCCCATTCTGCACCTACCACCCTGGAATTCTAATTTTGGGCCCCTCCCCAGTTATCTTGCCCTTCTCAGCAGCATCCCCAAACCCTACTCCTTCATCAGCTACCTGGCCACAGCCCTAGAGATACCAACCTTGGCTCTTCTGTGATAACAACTGATAGAAACCCATATATTTGGACTGTGTTCTGTTTCTAGGTCGGTGCTGCTGCTCCTGCTCTTGTTCTTCGTCCCAGGTGTGGTTATGGCAGTGGCCTATGGGCTTATCTCCCGCGAGCTTTACTTAGGACTTCGCTTTGATGGAGACAGTGACAATGAGAGCCAAAACCGTGTCCGAAGCCAAGGAGGGCTGCCGGGTGGGGCTGGACCTGGTGAGCAAGATCCTAGAGGGGCGGGACTTTGGAAAGGGTGGGGCCTATAGTAGGTGGGGCTATAAGGTGCCAGGTTAAATGGAGGGCCTGGGCAAGTGGAGATTGGGTTGGAGGTTAGTATGACTCTGCCTTACACTCTGACAGTTTACCCTCTGTGCCCAGGTCCTGTCCACCAGAATGGGCGTTGCCGAAATGAGTCTGGCTTGACTGGTGAAGACAGCGATGGTTGCTACGTGCAACTTCCACGTTCCCGTCCCGCACTAGAGCTGACCACACTGACCGCGCCTACTGCTGGGTCAGGACCTGGCCCCCGGCCCACCCAGGCCAAGCTGCTGGCCAAGAAGCGCGTGGTGCGAATGTTGCTAGTGATCGTTGTGCTTTTTTTTCTGTGTTGGTTGCCTGTGTACAGCGCCAACACATGGCGTGCCTTTGATGGCCCAGGTGCACACCGGGCACTCTCCGGGGCCCCCATCTCTTTCATCCACTTACTAAGCTATGCTTCAGCCTGTGTCAACCCCCTAGTCTACTGCTTCATGCACCGTCGCTTTCGCCAGGCCTGCTTGGACACATGTGCCCGCTGTTGCCCAAGGCCTCCTCGAGCTCGCCCCAAGCCTCTTCCAGACGAAGACCCTCCTACCCCTTCCATAGCTTCCCTGTCCAGGCTGAGCTACACCACCATCAGCACCCTGGGGCCTGGCTGAGGGGTGGCAGTAGTGTGGGCTGAGGCAGAACAAACAAGCCCTTAAGCACAAGATCCCATCCACATGCACAATAAATACAAACCAAAACTGACACCCAACAGCATGGACTAGCCCCTATACACAGGAAAAGGTAAAGGAAGCAGGAAACAAGCTTATACAGAAAAGGAGGCATACTTCTGTTATAGATGGAGCCTATCCCCAGAGATCTGGCACTGACCATGGACAGCATCCCTAGCAGGGAAATATCCCTAGTCAGTGGGAACTTTGACAAGATCTGACCTGCCCTTTGCACACACATACATTAACAGCTCTGATTCTTTAGGGGCTATGGAGCCTGGCACAGGAGTGACTCTGTATGTTCTAGGCTGTCCCCAGTTTGACCTCACAAACCTTTCCTCAACTAGCACTGAAAATACCAACAGGCCTAATCTCACATCTCCCTGATCAATAGGCTGTTTAGCACTGAAAACTACTTCATCTCTTTCCAGTTAAGAACTGTGGACCTGCCTTCTCCTCCTTCACCAGACTTCTTTTTAAAAAATAATAATAAACTTGGCTTCCTCCTAGACTTCCTTTCTGGACTTTTTCAGAGGCAGGTGAGGAGGTGTGGGATTTTGTGAAGTCCTCCCTGTCAAATCCCTTCCATAGCTTCCCAGTCCTTTGCACCCCCCTGTGCCCAAAAGTCCTTGATTTGAGGCTAGATGGGACAGGGTTTACTCTCTTTGAGTGTCACAGTAGCTGGGAGTAGATGTAGGAGGCAGGATATCCATGACGTGTCATGATTCCATTGTTAAGGTACTATAAGCATGGATGCTTATTAAAATTCTGATGAAAAGATAAAAGAGGAAGCATTGCATAATAAGACTCAGCATATTCAAGGAGTGTCTGAAACACCAGGGATCAGACCATGACAGGTGTATAGAAGTTAAGAGTAGGGCCTTTTTTTATGGTACATTTTCTATCCTCCATCATCAGAGCCTGGCCAAAATCCACCTAATGAAAGAACCCTGACAGGCTATAACAAAGAGGCCTAAGGGCAGAGGCTTGGCTGGGTTGGGGGCTGATGGGACTGTACCTGAATAGGAGTCTGAGAACCCAGACTCTGGTGTGACTATAAAACTGATTGAGCCCCAGAGAGAGGCAGAGACCAGCGACATCACCTCTATACACACACAGGAACAGAAGACTTCACCAAGGGACATACCTGGATAATCAAGGGGTAGTGTTATGAGAGAAGTTCCAGTAATAAAAGGGTGTTGTGGTTTTGGATATGTGGTATCCCCTAAAAGCTCATGTGTGAGACAAAGCAAAAACATTCAGAGGTGAATGATTGGATTATGAGAGTCGCAACCTAATCAGTGAAGTATTCCACTGATGGATTAACTGGGTGGTAACTATAGGGAGGTAGAATCTGACTGGAGGAGGTAGGTCACGGGAAGTGTGCCTTTGGGACTTATATTTTGTCCCTGGTGTGCTGAGATCACTTTCACTGCTTCCTTGTTGACATGTGCTGAGCTGCTTTCCTCCACCACGCTCTTCTGCCATGATATTCTGCCTCATCTCAGTCCCAGAGCTATTGAGTCATCCGTCTGTGGACTGAGACAACAAGCTGAAAATAAACTTTTCTTCCACTACATTGTTCTTGTCAGATCTTTTAATCATAGCAATTTAAAAAAAAAACTGACTAAAACAGAGGAAACAGACCTAGAGGAAAGAAAGCGGCCCAAGACCATACAATAAATTAGAGCAAGATAGCAATGATGATAGTGACACTGAGCTGGAGATGGGGAAAGAGCCACACCCATGAGGGACACATCCATGCTTTGTAGGAGGTAAAGTATACACAATTTGGGTTCTTTTTTAAAAAAAAAGGAAAAAGAAAAATAACAGATACCAAATTGCCCAGGGACTGTGTAAGTGAGGAGCCTGAAACCTAAACCTTCGTAGCTATACCTCCCAAGTCCACCCAGTAACTACTCTGGAGAGGAGCTGGATGGAGAGGACAGTGAAAAAGGAGAGTGGGTCTTCTGTTTACCAGGGCTGGGATTGCTCCCATCCATCCTTCCACAGGGCTCTGGGCTGCAAGAGGCAGGAGGAAGGGAAAAAGGGAGGGAGAAGGCGTTGCAAGCTGTCAACCTAAGACAGTGCTGGTTAAAAATAGAATCCCAGCTGGTCTGAGGAGCTGAAGGGAGATACTGAGCCGTAGTCTCTCTTGCCAACTTTTCTCTGCAGCTTGCCTCTAGTTTCCCCAGCATACCTGACTCTTCCTTATAAAGGGATATTGACAGCTACCCCAATGTTAGCCCCTTCCTCTGGACTTTGTTAACTTGGACTTTTGGTGACCACCAGAGGCAGCGGGAGCTGTGTGGGGAAGTGCTGGGTCCAGCCTGTTTAAGGTGGAACGTGGTTCAGGCCTGGCCTAGAACCCAGCACACAGGCATAGTCTGACAAAGTCAGCCCTTTGGTCTGTGGATAACATATCCATCAGCCTGCTCCATGCCATGTTCAGTTACCAGATGTGGAATCTTGGGCTTCTCCCCCATCTAATTTTCCATTTCTTGAAGCCTGATAAAGTATATCAGGTCTAGATTTCATACCACTGTCCCCATGAACTCCTGCCCAGTCACTCTAGAAAAGCATATATGTTTTTACAGTACTTGCTGTTTTCCCTCTTTTATTGTAGTTATTCATGTCTCTGTCTGATTTCCCCTATTAGGCTGGGAACAGGATAATGTAGTGGGAAGATGACTGAGCCAGGTGATGGAGGGGGAGGTGGTGAAATCTAATGCTATGGTACTATGTGACAGGCACTTTATAGACACTAATTCATTTCACTCTTAGAACACACCTACAGAACATTACTCCTCTTTTGAGAGGTGAAAAAAGTGAAGCTGAAAAGGCTTAAGGGAGTTATATGAGGTCCATATTAGAGCCAAGAACTGAGCTTGGGTATCTGAATCCAAAAACTTTTTCCATTATATTGTGTTGCTTTCTTTCAATCCTGGAAGACCTAGATTCCAGTCCCTACCTACCTTTTTAAAGTTGTATGAATTCGTGCATTAGTTATCTCAGTGACTTTTAATAGGAGTTATACGATAGGAATAGTGACATTAACTTCACACTGCCATTTTGGAAATTCTAACAATGTTCACAAGGTGTTTATCACTGCACTAGGCACATAGCAAAAGAAAAGTTGACTTGAAGTTGCTTCAAGACCCAGAAGAAGAAACAATATAAAAAAATAAAGCCCTCAGCAAATAGTTAGAACTATAGCTTGAGTCTTGAATTCCCCCAAAATGCCCATTTGTTGAAGTCTAAATTCCCAGCTCGGTGAAATAGAGAGGAGGCGGAAACTGTAAGTGGTGGGGATTAGGAGGACTTTGGGTCCGTGGATCTTCAGGGCATTCAAAGGCATGTCATTGAAGGGGACATTGGGATAACTGGCCCCTGCTTTTCTCTCTTTTCACTTCCCAATCATCATGAACTGAGGAGCTTTGCCATGCCACACCTCTTCACCATGATGTGCTGCCTTTCCACAAGCCAAAAGCAATGGAGTCATTTGATCATGAACCTCTAAAATTCATGAAAAATTTTTTAATTAATCAATTTATTTATTTTACAGTAGAATGCATTTTGACATATTGTATACAAATGGATCACAACTTCTCATTCCTCTGGCTGTATATGTTGCAGAGTCACTCTAGTAGTGTAATCCTACATGTTTATAGGGTAATAATGTCTGTCTCATTCTGCCATCCTTCCCATCCCCACAATCCCATCCCTCCTCTCACTCCCCTCTACACAAACCAAAGTTCCTATGTTCTTCCCTATCTCCCCAACCAACTATGCATCAGCATCTGCTTTTCAGAGAAAACATTCAGCTTTTGGTTTTGGGGGATTGGCTTATTTCAATTAGCATAATATTCTCCAGTTCCATCCATTTACCTGCAAATGCCATAATTTAATTCTTCTTTTTTTAAGTCTTTTTTTTTAAAGAGAGAGAGAGAGGAGAGAGAGAATTTTAATATTTATTTTTTAGTTTTTGGCGGACACAACATCTTTGTTTTTGTATGTGGTGCTGAGGATCGAACCCGGGCCACACGCATGCCAGGCGAGCGCGCTACCACTTGAGCCACATCCCCAACCCAATTTAATTCTTCTTTAAGGCTGAGTAATATTCCATCCATTGTGTATGTGTAACACATTTTCTTTATCCATTCATTGGTTGAAGGGCATCTAGGTTGATTCCATTGTTTAGCTACTGTAAATTGAGCTGCTATAAATATTGATGTGGCTGCATCACTGTAGTATGCTGATTTTAAGTCCTTTGGGTATAAACCAAGGGGTGGGATAGCTGGGTCAACTGGTGGTTCCATACAAGTTTTCTGAAGAATCTCCATACTGCTTTCCATAGTGGATGCAGCAATTTGCTGTTCCACCAGCAAAGTATGAGTGTACGTTTTCCCCCACATCATTGCCAACACTTACTATTGCTTATATTCTGGATAATTGCCATTCTGACTGCAGTGAAATGAAATCTTAGAGTAGTTTTGATTTGCACTTCTCTAATTGCTAGAGATGATGAACATTTCTTTGATTGGTTGTATTTCTTCTTCTGTGAAGTGTCTGTTCAGTTCCTTAGCCAATTTATTGATTGGGTTATTTGGTGTTTTTTTTTTTTTCTTGGTGTTAAGTTTTTTGAGTTCATTATATATCCTGGAGATTAGTGCTCTGTCTAGTGTGTGTGGTAAAGATTTTTTCTCATTCTGCAGGCTCTCTCCTCACATTAGTGATTGATTCCTTTGCTGATAAGAAGTTTTTTGGTTTGAATCCATCCCATTCATTAATTCTTGATTTTACTTCTGGTACTTTAGGAGTCTTGTTCAGGAAATCAGATCCTAAGCCAACAAATTCATGAAATCTTTAAAACTATGAGCCAAAAATAAAATGTGCTCTTTATAAGTTGATTATCTCAGGCATTTTATTACAAAAATAGAAAGCTGGATAACATAAACAGTCATGAATAACTGAAAGGGACAGAACCCTGTGTCTGAGATGAGGTTTGGGGCCTGCTATAAGATAATTTTATAAAGTCAAGTCAGGATTTGAATCCAGGTCTGCCTGAACCCAAAGCTCATAATCTTCCCACTCCATATCCTGGTTCTGATTTCCCAGAGGCATCATTCAGGGATAAAGAAGAATGTGTTCGGGAGAGATTCAAATCACTCAGAACTCTTCCCAGGGCTCAAAGTAGAGATCAAATATTAAGTCTATAGCTCTGTAGGCTTAGAACACCATTGCTATAGGAAAGCCCTCATAGATCATCCTCCCCAAAACACAAGAGGGTAACAGCTCTGAAAATCTCACTCCCTCACATTTTCCAAGAAATCAGTTTAGTGGTTAAATCTTAGAAACTCCAAATAATATGGGAATAAGCCAGAGAAAAGTTGGTGTCACAGTGAACATGCATGGGGTGGACATTAGGCCAGATGCTGGTTCTTCTCACAGACATATCCAGCCAGAGTCTTAAATGACCATACACTCTGGCTAGTTATGTCTAGAATAGAGAGGAGGAAGCAAAGGATAATTTGTAGACTGTTCTTTCAAGTTATCTCTGGGAGAGGACACATGGAAGGGAAGAAAACAAAAGGTGATGAAGAAAATAAGTCTCATGTAGAGTATGAGCTTTGTTGTTAAGACACAATACCTAGAAGCAGGACCCTCTGGAAACCACATTCTTTATTACAGATTCTAAACATTGTTCTTTGGCTGCTTCCTGCTCTCTGAGCTTCAGTCACTGCTTCCCAAACTCAAGAAGCATTCTTGTTTTATCACTAACAACATGCTCAAAGATTAGCACTTTCCTCTGGACAGGGTCCAGACTTTTGGAAATGGAATTTTAGTCCAGCCATGAGCTACATCTTGAGGGTAGGAGACAGGTAACCAATTAGACCCACTGAAATAACATTTGGTCTTAAACAGTTTTGGGCATCAGAACTAGAGGTAGGCATATAAGTAGTGACAGATAAGATATGAAGGGCTCTTGAATGTACATTTAAATGATAAGGCTGGTTTGAGTGATAAGTCTGCCCAATATGCCAGGGTGAGACAAGCAGACTTTGAGAAACATGGGAGAGGTAGAAACCCAGGTCACTCCCTACTGGAACAGAGGATCCCAAGTACATTTCAAGAAACAGGATACAACACTAAATATGGGCAAGAAGGGGAGGTGTAAAGGCCTTACCTAGACAGAGGCAGAGCCTTCCAGATAGAACCTAGCTTGTGGGTGGTGGGGGGGTGGGGGAATATTCTTCTCTTGCCTCAAACCACATATGACTCTCCAGTCTTTCCAAATTTAGCAGTATTGGCCCTCCTTTGAAAATGGGGTACCACTTCAGGGCTTTTGAAAGCCAGCCCCCCAGATGCCTTCAGAGTGGATCTTCAATTCAACTCAGAAAAGGCAAGATCAAGAGAAGTAGGATGATTGAGGCAGGGAAACCGACTTTGAGCATAGGATTTTTAGTTACTATAGCCAGAGAAGTGGAGAGTCCTCACATATTTTGGGAAACAGCTACACCCACCAACTTGAAATGATAAGTCAACAGAACTAGACAGAAAATGTGAGGATCTAGCC